GCAAAGAGATTACTGAAATCCTTTTGTACTGAAGTTCACTTTTTATTACCTACCTTTACCTACCTTGTGAAGTTTGTTGTGTGTAAGAAGCCATTACATATCTACAGCAAGGTCACAGTAGTGCTCTCTGCCCTGCCATCGTTTGGTTACCCATGTGAGAACTTCCACTGTCAGCTGAACATAGAAATGTCTCTACAAGCTTGCCTTGTTTGTCACTTGACAATCTGGCTTGTTAATGCTGTGTTTACTCTGTGCAACAGGGCAAAGACGCAATGCATGCAGAGATATTCAGCATGCATCTTTCTCTCACACCCACACAAATTCATTTTACTCAAAGAAAGCTTTTTCCTCACACATTGATTTAGGTTTCTGTAAACAATCCTAAAATCACCCTTAAGACCTTTTGTCCCACAACTGCAAAACAGAGTATCTACACCTGCAGCCTTCTAATGGTTGCTTGAAGTGCTTTGGGAAGTACACAAGAAATGCAAAGCCAGACAAATGCATATAAGCAACATCCATAAAGTGACATGGGTTGACACAAGTGAGACACTTCATCCAACACAGGTCTTTTCTGACTTCTGTTGCCAGAGGTCGAGTCAGAAAAAAAGGAAAACTGTGCAAAAGAACATCCACCCATAGCTACAGCAAAGACATATCCATTCTTTTTGCTCCAATCTCTGTGTTTGAATAAGAGTTTTTATTTCCTCTGACCCTAGCACTTCACTCAACAATATTTCTATAGCGAATTCTTTATTCTGTGTCTATAAACTTAGTATGCTTCCAAAGACACGATCACATTGTTAAAGTTATTCTGATGGTTATAGACAGCAAGTAAGTAGGAAGCAACAAATGGCATTTATCTTGATTTTAGCAAGATTTTGACCCTGCGAAAGGTTTGTAAGCAGGCCAGGGAAGCACTGTCCAGATGCAGCACAGTTGTATCCCGCCTGGCACTGGCAGGCCAGGTGTCTCGTATAACAACCTATGCTCGAAAAGCCCAAAGCCCCGCCGATAACACCAGTCACGGAGCCACAAGTTGATATGCTGCCTCTTCCTGTCAATTTCCTTATTCACTGTTGCCACTGGAGGGATAGACGAGAGCACAACCTGCGTTCCTGTTCCCTTGAGCTGCCATCCAAAGGCTCTGAAGTCTCTTTTAATTGATTTTGGCCTCCTCCTACCCATTTCATCACTACCCACCTGAAATACTAATGGGGGGTAACAACCAGATGGGTTTATTAGGTCTGGAAGTTTGTCCATCACATCCCTGACCCATGCCCCAGGGAGGCAGCAGACTTCCCTGTGAAGTGGGTCAGGGAGGCATATTGGTCCCTCTGCCCCCCTCAGCAGAGAGTCACCCACAACAAGGACCCTTCTCCTTTTCCTTTTGGAGCTAGTAGGGATGGTGTGTCTATAATGATGTGTACTTCCTGACTTTTTGGGTCTTGGCATGCCATCCTCCTCTCCATCAGCCAGTTCCTCCTGCAGGACCCCATACCTGTTCTGCAGGGGTAACTGGGGAGCTGGGAGGGGCTGGAAGGGTACTTGGCTGCTTCCCCAAGCAGGGACCAGTTTCCGTTCCCCCTCTTCTCTGAGATCTCCTCCTATTGCCTGGGGACAAGAGGGGAGGGGGTCCTCCAATTTACACAGGGGCTCAACCTGTTCCCCTACTCCTCTGTTACTTTCTCCCTGGTGCTCCTCAGCCTCTCCACTTCACCCTTCAGCTGGGCCACCAGGCCGAGCAGACCAGTCACCTGTTCACACCTGACACAGGTGTTGTCCGCGCTGCCCGCCATTGCCAGTGCCAGGCTCCGGCACCCTCTGCAGCCAGAGGCCTGGACACCCACGTGTTTGCGTGGGACCTCTGTCTGGGTGCCCACAGCTTTCCTAAAAACAGCTTTTGACAGGGTAGAAGCCACAGCTGAGCCCCCCAGACAGACTGAACGTACCTTGTGCTGGAGCAGAGGCGCAGGGCCCGGCCGTACAAACTGCAGCTGCTGCACCCACTGGGGACACCCCCAGCACAGGGGGCTCCCTCTGGGCTCTGTGGCCAGGTGCCTCTACTACTTTCTTTCTTGCACTCCCCAATGCTCCTCAGCCTCTCCACTTCACCCTTCAGCTGGGCCACCAGGCTGAGCAGACCATTCACCTGTTCACACCTGACACAGGTGTTGTCCCTGCTGCCCGCCATTGCCAGTGCCAGGCTCCGGCACCCTCTGCAGCCAGATGCCTGGACACCCACATGTTTGTGTGGGGCCTCCGTCTGGGTGCCCACAGCTTTCCTAAAAACAGCTTTCGACAGGGTAGAAGCCACAGCTGAGCCCCCCCAGACGGACTGAACGTACCTTGTGCTGGAGCAGAGGCGCAGGGCCCGGCCGTACAAACTGCAGCTGCTGCACCCACTGGGGACACCCCCAGCACAGGGGGCTCCCTCTGGGCTCTGTGGCCAGGGACTAGTCCCTGCCCTCCCTGGGGCTACTTATCACCTGGAGCTTGATCAGCCACAGGTGGTGGTGGCTCCACCCAGGCACCCTCAGCAGCACCATCCACCAGCTGACAGCCCCAGGTCAAGCAAAGGGCTCCTCTCCGCTTCAAAAAGCTCCAAAAAGCCCCCAAAGGAGTTTCTCGTCAGCCCTTTTTGCTACAGATTCCTTCCCCAGCATGAAGGAATCTTCATTCTTACCTGCCCTGAAGCAGATTGGGCTCCGTGGCAATCTGGAAAAATCTGGGAAAGATGGATAGCATGAAAATACTTTTCGAAAATGCTTAAAAGTAGTTATGAAAAAAAAAAAAAAGAAAGGCTCATTTTTCTTCATATCCATAGGGAGAAAAGGCCAAAATGTAGAAAAGTAGTTAATTTGCAGGAAATTACATTTAAATTAGACATTAGAAAGTTAGGCATAGGGAAAGGCTCCGTGGCAATCTGGAAAAATCTGGAAAAGATGGATAGCATGAAAATACTTTTCGAAAATGCTTAAAAGTAGTTATGAAAAAAAAAAAAAAGAAAGGCTCATTTTTCTTCATATCCATAGGGAGAAAAGGCCAAAATGTAGAAAAGTAGTTAATTTGCAGGAAATTACATTTAAATTAGACATTAGAAAGTTAGGCATAGGGAAAGGCAACACAGAGAGACTATAGAACCTCCTTTATTAGAGATGTCAGGGACTAATTTAGTAAAACATCATTCCAGGATAGGAGTATAGGTAATGCTGCCATGAAGGAATCTTCATTCTTACCTGCCCTGAAGCAGATTGGGCTCCGTGGCAATCTGGAAAAATCTGGGAAAGATGGATAGCATGAAAATACTTTTCGAAAATGCTTAAAAGTAGTTATGAAAAAAAAAAAAAAGAAAGGCTCATTTTTCTTCATATCCATAGGGAGAAAAGGCCAAAATGTAGAAAAGTAGTTAATTTGCAGGAAATTACATTTAAATTAGACATTAGAAAGTTAGGCATAGGGAAAGGCAACACAGAGAGACTATAGAACCTCCTTTATTAGAGATGTCAGGGACTAATTTAGTAAAACATCATTCCAGGATAGGAGTATAGGTAATGCTGCCATAGAGCACAGATTCAGCTAAATTATTTCTGCAGGGACCATTCTTGGCAGGGAAGAAGGTGGATGACGGGTTCAACATGTTTGTGGTTTCAGCAGAGGTGTACTGTACCACTCCAGCCTAGTGTTTCTGTGCTTTTTCACTTGCAAAGTAAATGGTGGACAGAGGGGTACCACTTGATTTTGTAACATGTCTGGAATGCGTGTAACTGCACTGTTAAGTGTGGCATACATTGAGGGGTACCTTGGTATAAAATAGCCTCATAAATGCAAGTTTTAAGGACCCCAAGCACTGTGAAAGTTCTCAGACCAAGGATTATAATTGTGATTTTTATATGAATGTTGCTGCATTTATATCCACGAGAAGCTATCTTCTATCAAAGAACCTTTTCTTTTTTCTTTTTTTTCCTCTTTTAAGAAGCTATCTTCTATCTACCTTTTCTTTTTTCTTTTTTTTCCTCTTTTTTTTTGCTTTTAATGTACACAGAGCCAGTCTGTCAGTAGCAGTGTCCAGACCTGTGAAAAATGCACTTCCATACCTGAACTTTTTGGCCTTTTTCTATCAAAGTAAAGTCAAATTCACATCTGTGGTGTAAGAGACAATATTTCAGGGATGAGAGCTGCCCACAAATAACCCCCAAAAGCCAATAGTTGGGTCTCCTGGTGCAAAGGAAGCAAAGGGTGTGCTTTCACCTGTGTAAAGAAAGTGTTATAGCAGAGAAACAGGGGTCTCGGGCTCAGATGAGATTGAATTACCCTGGAAATTGTTTAAAATAAACATGAGAAGACCATCGGGAACTGGCAGTGCTGTGAATTAATAAATAACTCCCACTCTACAACCTTCCTGCAGACCTCCAGCACCTTGAGAGAAATGCTGGTTTCCTTAGATCAGTGGAGCCTCATCTCTGAAGCTCAGATAAATTGTTCCAGCTCTCTGTTCGTGCATTTCAACCCAAATGTCAAAGCAGGGAATCAGAGAAACTTCTGTCTCCCAGACAGAGTCGGATCAATGTGCTCTCTCCTCTACATCACTGAGCCACAGTATGACAGCAAGCCAGACACAGTAATCACAGTTAGAAGCAATGCATTCATGCCAATAAATAAATGGTTTTCAGCATTTGTAATAGCTGAATAGCGCATTGTTTTGTACTCCAGTGAGGTGGCCTACTTGAAAAAGAGGGATATGCGGCTATTTCTGACAGACAGGTGGCTGTTATAAATTCCTCGTTGTCTTTCTGTGATTTTAAAATTAATTTGATTTTCAAATTAAAAAAGACACCATGTTGTGGTTTTTTTTCCCCACCCTTTTCCTGCATCTCCACAATTTTAACAGATTATTTGGAGGGCCGTCAAAAATAATCTGTGTGCTGGGTGGTTCTTGAATGATGTGCCTATCCCTTCTGAAAAGATGTTGCTAATGAAAGCAATTTTCCCCCTTTCAGTTGATTTCATAGGTGGATTTGACTCTTACGGCTATCAAGGTCCACAGAAGACATCTCATTTACAGCTACAGCCCATGTATATGTAAGTACTTAACTTCTGAGATATTCTGCAAAGTGGCAGGCTGATATTAAAGGATCATTAAGCTGAAACATGACGTGACTCAGAAATTCAGAATAGGCAAAATCCTTTTTTGATAGACCGAATTCAAGCTACACTTAAGAGCCAACATTACTCTTCTATCAAATTATAATGATTTCTTAGGGCAGGATATAATGTGTCACGGTTGTTTAAATAGCACCCAGCTTTTATCTGATTTTCTCCCACTTTCATTACAGCAGGTTCCACTCAGAGGTGATGGTGTAGTAAAAACTAGTCAGATCTTACAAATCTTGGTTGCAAAGTGTTTTTTATTAAGATTTATCAAAAGTTCAGCAATTCGCTAATTTAGTGGATGCATTTAGCATTTGTTTTACCAGCGCATCTGTTCACTGAGGTACCTCATTTCCAGTCTCCACATTTAAGATAAATAAATAAATAGAACAAATGTAACAACATATGGCTTTTAAAACCAGTTTGAATACAAGACAGTATTTTACCTAACCAGTGAGTGACAACTCCATCTACCACCTAGAAATGCAGCCTGATATATTTGGGGATTAAATGGGTAATCAAATCTCAGCACAAGCAGACAACTGGAATACATTCACACAAGAGCTAACACCCAGCTGTAGACCAGTCCAGGAATAATCATCTCCAAATATTTCTTGTACTGATGCCAACTGCAATTCAGAACGGCCCAACTGCCCGGATAAATCTTACCTCACTGCTGCAGCCTTTTGAAATGTTTGTTATTCACCATCACTCTTTGCCATCACCTACACAGTAAAAGCACAGCACAGAACAGCTCACAAAGGGGCAACATTTACTTTTTTCCTTTGTTTCTCTTCTTAACGTGTCTTTTGAGGAAAAGAACTAAATACAGGCAAACAATATCCATCCCAACATACACTTCCATTCACCCTTGTTGAATGTAATTTCATTTCTTCTGATTAGTGGAAGCAAGTCTGCTAATGGATTAGTGGATTTTTGCATGGAACTGACATTTACCCCTCTATCAGAGGTACAATCAATTCCGCGGTAGTGCTTAGGATTGGGCCCTTTGGGAGCTTTGCTAGGAGCTTTTTAATAATCTCAAATTACAATAGTGCGTATCTCCAATGCCATCTTAACTTCAGCTTCCCATCTGTCTGTGCTCAAGTAAAGATTTTTCACCTGCACTTGTGGCACAGCGCCGTGCATTTAGAAAATGTTATTTCCTTCCAAGTATTATGTGTGGCTCATAGGTACTTAGAACAATTCTAATCCTATTTCTTTCTCAGTATACCATACCTTGTCATCAACATATGGGGCCCTCTAGCTGAGATATTATCCCATTCTCTTTATGTTCTCAGTGTTTCTTCCGGAACAGCAGATTGCATTTACAGAGCATCTTCCTGCTGAGTGGAAGGAAAGCTAGCCCTGCAGAAAAAAAAAAAAGAGGCAAATATTTTTAAGCTTGTAGTTGAAATGAAGGGATATGTGATTAACCCATGTAAACTGTGTTCGCCTTATTTCAATGCTGCATTCTCGCTAGACTATAGGTTCTTTCATTGTCTTCACTGAAAGACAGAAATCAGTATGTGAGCTGACACTTTGTCCAATCAACCCCCAAAAGTATTGCCATGTCCCAGCCACAGTCAAACAAAGACACTTCATGTTTCTCTCTGACTGTATAGCATTTGACAAGGTTCTCTAGAATTGCTACAGTCTGTCTTTAAGAGCCCTTTACAGCATTTAGTAATACCTTTCTGTTATTTACAGTTGAGGCGCAGCAGGTACACATGCATATGTATTCACACTGCAGTTGCTCTGTAAATGTAGGCAGACCATTAGGTAGTGGAGTGACAAATTCGAATGTCAAATTAATCAAGCCGTGGTTTGATCTGCTTGTAGCACTATTTACAACAATATTACATACTGGAAATCAAAACACACTGATATGACAACAGCAAGCCACACTTGGTGTTTTGGAGCTTTATTTGTTGGAAGGAAGGGTATGGTTCCCTCGGGATCTTGTTCACCAAAGAACGTCAGTGTTAGCCACCAAAGAACGTCAGTGTTAGCCACCCTAGTATTCAAGAAGAGAAAACAAAAAAAATACAGAACTTTATATTACTCTCTGGCCAATATCACCTGCACTTTACAATGCTCAGCATCTCTAGGAGGTGAGTAAATGGTAAGAATCATACACCTTCTGCTTTATGCAGTCCATTGCCATACCCTCACCACCGTCCAAGGTATAATCACACCCATCATGATACAACCATACCCATACATATCCATGTAGCTGTATTCATCTAATTATTTCCACAACTTTATCAATTGCTACAAAACATCTTTAAGTCCAAAGGCAGAGGAGGATATATTAAGCATCAACCTGTCTAATTCTTGCAAAAGTTCAAGAAAATATGGAGATAGCTTGTTGTCCCCTCTGCATCCTCTACTATTGAGGCTCACACTGGGTGCAACTCATGTGGATCTCTGAGGTTATGAGAGAAATAGGAAGCAGTTTCCTTTAAACCACCTGGTTATTGTCTATATCCAAAGGCACAGTAACACCTCTTTTTGTTGTCTGTGGCATGGTATTACCTACAGGTGTAGTAGGCATGCTACAAAAGCGAAGGAGAACATATGGCCTCAGCTTTGAAGAGCTTACCAAAACAGTATCAGCTTCTAATGGTTGTACAGATTCTGTCAAAATTAAAAATTCAGCATGTATTTCAGCAATAAACCCAGAGAACCCCCCCTATATTTGGTAGATCAAGTCACATACGGAAATAGTACAACACTTAAAGACATATAGAGTTCTGTACTAGGTCTCAGTCATCACCCACATACTGCTGCTTGATGTGAGTTGATTTAGTGGATTGCTATGACAGAATTCCATCAACACAAACTTTTATTTCAATTCAAGCCAGACAGATTTACATCCAAGTAATTTAAATCAATTTTAACTGTTTTATACATCCACAGTTTAATTATTATCCTGAAGAAATGCTGGGTTTAGTAATTGCAAACTGTTAAGACACACTGTTTTGTAACCAGTTTCCTCCTGTGTGCTCAAGTTAGCACCTCATTTTGTTAATTTGGAGGTTATACTGAACCTACGCAAAATTACACGTGCAATTAAATAATTATATTGATTTATTCAGGTTTCTCATGTTTACATTTCTATTGTGTCAGGATTGTTTTATCTAAAGAATTATTACTTTTTATTTGTGATACGAATCAAGCTCTACTTATAAAAACATTCCTATTCGGTTTAAACACATACAGTATATTTGTGTGAAATTTCAGCAGTTATGTAAAAATACCATAAATGAACAGGATACTTAAGGAAAAAATATCTTGATTTATGAAAAAGAGGTATTAGCTGTAGATAGTGAATTGAATCTCTGGCTACTGTTTCCTTAAACAGTCTAGAATTATTAGGTTCAGTCTCACTTTGTTTCTTTTCTCTATGTTTTAGGCTTTGAATTCCAATCATAACTCTCCTTATCATCTCTTCCAGTTTCACATTTAATTTAAATCAGCTTACTTTTTATAGAGAAAAATATATTCCATTTAAAATTATGTTTTAAGTAAAACTGGTGTTTTGGGGGAGAATTCTTATCATGACATTTATCTACCTGTTATAAATGGCTTTTTTCTATTATTTAAGTGCCAACAGTGTGCTCTATGCTGTACAAGCCAAGAAGCCCAGACAGTCCCTTCAAAACGAATACGCTTTTTAAACAGAACGGGACAGAACCGGTGCTCGTGTACCTTCTTGCAGTGTGGTCACAGCTGATGTACTAAAAAGCAGCTTCCTGGCACTCTGTGTGGGAGATGCGGGTGCTCATTTCCAGACCATGGGACAAGAACACAATAAGATGGTGGAAATCAATTGTCAAGAGAAAATTCTGCTCTTGGGAGGTGACCGAGGAAGGTGACTAAATACTCCATGGCACTGGGTCTGCTGCATATGAGAAAACACAGTTGTAGTTGTGGAACAAGACTGCACTGCATGATCACTGCTCTAAAAATAGAAGGAAGGAGGGAGGGGAGATTTTTCTTTAAGTTTTTCACAGTAAACTTGTTTGCTCAAGAAAAGAAGAAGTGAAGCAAAAAAAAAAAGCATGCGTGTCTGATGCTGATGCCTAATGCACTGGAGAAATTGCTCAAAAGCAGTTGAACCCTGAAGTGAAGCTTGCTTTCCTCATATTCTATGAATCTTTGTATTAGATATATATATACACATACTATATATGCATAGAAACGCACCTATACGCACACAGACCCATTTATATATATGTGTGTGTGTATATATCTATGTTCACTTATTCTCATATTCTATGAATCTTTGTATTATATGTATATACACATACTATATATGCATAGAAATACACACATCTATGTGCACACAGACCCATTTATATATGTGTGTGTGTGTATATATCTATGTTCACTTATGTGTATTCTGCTACACAAGACAAGAATTGGTAGGCATTGCTTTTCAGTAGAAGGCACTTAATGATAGTTTCTGGCTAATGAGACCCTACTTTTCACAAACATTAGAGAGATTTCAAGTCAATAACTCAGAGACAAAGGGGTGTAGGAGGGGTTAATGTAGTTGCCCTGGTATCTGGCCCTATCTTTTCTCTCTGCTGTATTTACACGTGCATTATGCTGGTCATGGTCTCCTACTCTAAGGCTGCAGGTATTTGTCTAAATAATTGCACATATTGAAAGTACCACCTACTTTACCATTCACTTGAAGTATAAATGAAGCATAAGCACAACACAAAAAACAGCACCTGGACTATAACCATTGTGACACTTAGCAAGTTTATGGAGTACAAATCCGATGTGCTATGGTCTCCTTAAGATTCATGTTTGTGGGATTCAGACATTACGGGCAACATTTCATTTAAACAAACCAGTAGCTAGTCCTTGTCTAGCAACCAGCAACATCTTGTCTGTTTTAGACTGAAAGCTGGAGTTACAAAACACAGTTTTGGGACAGGACTGTTCAGGTGTACAGGGCTGTGGCACTCACACATGCTCTCAGCTTTGCAAAAGAGCCTCTGGTGACTTACCCAGGCACCTGAGATTCAGCCCTTCTGTCCTACATGCTGCATCACTTCTTGCTTTTACGAAGACAGATATATTTCTGATGAATTATTACAGTTCAGGTCATCTTCCAGTTGACACACGGTTATATGGTTAAGTGTCTAAATAAACACCACTCCTACCTTTAGAAAACCTGAGCTGATTTCTCTGATGATGCTCTAGAGTGAGCCAAGCGATCACCTGAGTAAACAACTTACCTTTCTGTCCTCTTCATCCCATGTGTACCTGAACCATTACTGATTGGTGGCTTACACTTACTTGCACCAGAGCATCAGAGCAGCACCAGGGCACCAGAGCAGCAAGGCAAGGATTGCATAAGTACATGTTGGTTTATAAGTGTCTTTCTTTTTCTGCCTTTCTTCTAGGTCAAAGTAAACAAAGGGGCTACTCAACGTGGGCTGGAGGACCTGTCAGAGAAACTGTTTCAGGATGACCCCTGGTTCTTCAAAAAAATCCAGTTTTTATGCTAAAATAATTAAAATAGCTGATTGAACAGTGAGACAAAAAGCAACAGACGCCTTCGGCCCCTCTTTCTAACAGGTACTAAGGGAGATGCCCCAGACCCCCACCTTGGACATCCTTCCTCCCAGCACCAGAGGGCCAGAGCAGAGGCGTTGGTGTCATCTTCTGGCTCTTCCTTACCCAGGCTGCCCCCGGTGCAGCCCGTCTGGATTAAGACATGAACCCAGCCCATTTGGTGCTTTCGGAGCCCACTCTGCACTCCTGGCTGCATCGAGTCTCCTTAGTCAACACACCACTAAAAATACCAGGATGACCTTGCAGCAGAAGTCAATAGACAGCACGTTGTTTGCCCTGAAGGCTGTACAGTTCATACTTGCCTTAACCCAACTGCATTGCACATCAGAGAAACTCCGTGCAAGCTTTCTGAAGTAACATCCTTTAGGCTCAACATGCTGCTGTTAATTCGGAACGATTTCTAAGTCAGTGGTTTTCTTCTGTTTGGTTTTGTTTTGTTTTCATGTCAGGGAATAAGGCTCTGTTGCTCCACAGCTCCAGAGCGACCAAGTAGAAAACTGCCAGCTGTCTGAGAAGTGCTTTACTTTTGAGGCTCCACAGTGGTCAAGAAACAAACAGTTTATAATGGTTAAGAAAAAAAAAAAAAAAAAAAAAAAGAGACCTTTTGGGGGTTGGGGTGGGGAAAAGGGTAACATAAACTAATAATTGAACCTACTGGAAATAAGCAGCAGAAACAGTGCTTCTTAATCCCGCTGTTTTTATTTATCGCACTGTAGGTGCTTTTATAGCTATCTCTAAATGTCTTTTACTAACTACAGAGACATCTGCAGATTTCTATCAACAAAGGCCAACTGAATATGTACTAGCTACGTTTACTCTTTTATATCTAATTTCAACTGAAAATTCTCTGTAAGTGAGCTTTTTTTTCTAATTGAACCATAAGGGATCCATATATTTTATTTTATGGTTTCAGTTAGGGAGGGCAGGGAGGGGCTAGTTGAGTTGAAGAATATTGAAGACCTTTTTGTGGTATATTTGGGGGATCTGTTGTGTGTTAGAACGTGTACTTTATCTTCCTGTATTATCGTGGCTGAAAAAAAAAACTGTGCTGTTACGTAGTTGGCAACAAGATGCCTTTGGGAATTTTGCTAGTAGGTCAATGTGTATATGAAATACTCTGAACTCCTAGGAACATATGTTTTGTTCTACATCTGATCTGTATTTTCAAGCACTTAGGTGGCTTTCATTAGGAAAAACCCGATATTTTGCTCAGGCTTTTAAGAAACTTGGATTGTCATTGTTTCTTTGCTCAGACCTTGCATAGGCGAACGCACGCACCTCCCACACCTGAGGTGACCACCTAGCTTTTGAGGGCAAGGGGGAAGGTCAGTGCTTGGAAAGACTTGAGCTGCCCCCGGGCATCTCCCTCTTCCTTGCTGACCAGACCCTCATGCCTGCACAGCTCCCACTCATCCATCCCTGTACAAACCTGTGCCCTTTGCTGTCTCTGCATGGATGTACAGTCTCACAAGCAACAACTCTGGACAATGACAGAGGAACAGGCATTCACCAGTGAAAACAAGATACGGGACATGTTCAGGAACTATGCTTGCATTTATTCAGAGCGATTTATATATATATATATATATGTAAGAGTGTGTGTGTGTATGTCTCTGTATATAAAATACACAGGAATAGCTATTGACAGGGGCTGCATAACCCAGGAAGCCAAGGATAAAGGGGGCCAAGGGCTCCAGCCCCAGACCCTGCTGGATCCTGTGTGAATCAGGCACGTGCCCCAGGCTGGCTCCCATAAAGCATTCATGGCAAGTTTGCATCTCAAATTTAAATTTTCATACTTGGGTACCAGAACTTCTGAATTTGTTCTGAGTAGAGCTGCTTTTCACTCCCTGGGAAATCATGCACCTTCCAAGAGCCAGGCTGAAATTTCCCATAACTTAAAAAACTGGAAAAGTTCCCTCTCCACATGATATTAAGTATAGCAGATGTACAGTATTAAACACAATGTAGAGGCTTAACTGGACTGAAAATGTCATAACAGGGTATTTTGGTTTTCCCTGTATAATGGTTAAGCAAAATCATATTTCTATAAAGATGATTTTTTTTAAACCCTAAAAGAAACCAGTTTAGGCACCTAAGCAGTGACCCAATTTTCAGAAGATAATTCTTCATACGTTTCAGTGATTTCCCACTACAGCAGCTGCTGGTAGTTAGCAATTTTAGAAGTCAGACAATTTAGTGAAGTGTCTACATGTAGCTTTTAGGCCTGATTTTAATTTAGAAAATTTTGGCCTTAACTTCTCTGTGTCTTAGTCTTCCCACCTGTAAAACGGGAATAATATGTGCCTCACAGGCTTTTTGTGAGGTCTAAATTGTTAATGTTTGTAATGCGCTTAGGAAATAGGAAGCACATCTAACTATTAAGTGCTACAATATACAGGCGTATTCATATATTACATATAGAGTAGATATACACACACTCACATACATGCAGTATACATATATATATACATACATACCTGTATGAAGTTGGTATTCATAATCTTGCTTAAGTTGCAGTTAAAGCACCACCATTAAAAGGAAATTAGGACTGTTGACTACTAAATGATTAGTGGACAGATCTCTTCTGGAAGCAGTTTAGAGCACAGTGATGTGAGAATATCTGGATGACATTTTTGATTTGTACAGCTGTATCCTCCTCAAAATCCAGTAAAGAATGTTATTTTTCTAAGCTGGGCTTTTGTTATAAACTTAAATATTCAGAAGGCAAGAGATACAATCCAAATGTGTCTTTTTTTTTCTTTTCTTTTTTGGCATTTGTTAATTCTGAATGTATTTTTAACAAAAGTGATTTTTTTGACTTACTAGTGTAATTTGCATTTTAAAAAAATAAATGGAAAAAATATAGGTTTCCAAGCTATTCATGCCCCCCTGCTGCTATTCACAACTTTCAGGAAACTCAGAATTACTGCTCCCAACTGAGCAACAATGCAGGATAAAGAATGCTATTACATTTACATGATGACAATCCTGATCTGTGCAGTGCACGGATGTGACAGCATTGAATAGAAATCGCCAGGTCACGACACCATTTTAGCTCTGTCATAGGTAGCAGGTATTTTCATTATCACTGACACTAAAAGGTTTCTTTTACAAGGCTGAATGCAATAGACTCTTCACTTAGAAAATGGGGATTTTTGCCCACTCATCAGGAATTTTAAGCCTATGATAGGTTTACAGTTGCCAGCAGTGTTAAGTATTGCAAAAGTAATCCTTGTTAAGAGGGAGCTATGTAACATGGATATTGCCACTGCATTAATATTCTTTTATAAGCTGTTCATTGTCCCTATGCTGAAATGATGAAATCCTGTCTTAGGCAACGTTTTTATAGTGCTCACATATATTGACAGCTTGCCTGAGATCCTTTAATAAAGGTGGAGCAGAACGGTTTACATTTGCAGATACTCAGTTGTGCTATCCTAAAACTAGTCCTAAGAAAGAGCGTTCATTAATTATTGTTATTAGGATTTTTAATGCCATAATTATAGTGTGAGTGACACTTTTCAGTCAGGTAAGGAGAAACGGTTTGTGCTCCACTTGCTGAATTATAGTACTGGTTGCAATACTCAACTGCCATATAGCATTTTGACAAAGGCGAGTGCAGTATCTATTGATCCCTGGATGTCTCCAGAAAGGAGTGGCTACTAACTCAGTGTCTGAAGGTTTTGATCATTTGCACTCTCCCCCTCCATTTGAGCACACTGATAGTAAGCAAAACAAAAACCCATACACCGTGAATTCTTCCAGCTTGTAATATATTTATATCCAGTCCTCTGTGTCCTTTTTCAGCGCAATTACTCAGAGGATGAGGGTTTTTCTCACAAAGGTGGAAAGCCCCATGAATGTTCAATGTGTAGGTATTGCTTGCTTTCTTTCTCCTGATGAGTCTCTTCAATATAGCTGATACAAAATTGACAGACTTCTTGAGTTTTTCTAGCTAATCTGAATCTGGTTTCTTCACAGTGCATGTGGACTGGGGCCAGGCACCAAAGGTGAGACAGACAGGTTTTATTGAAAAGCTGATGCATAGAAATACTGCAGACAGCACCGTGTCCACTGCTGCTTGGAGAAAGACGTATACTGTTGTTATGTTAATCAGTCCGCTCCAAGCTACGTGCAATATAAAATGTAATCACCATGCACAAAAGAAACTGCCCTTCAGACTGCAGCTATTCATTCAGGTATAGAATTGGCACAACACAGAAAGAGCCAGCAAAAGACGTTTCCTTCCTGTAGCGACTAATATGCTTCATTCCCAGCCATGGACTGGAGAAATCATCTCTCTTTGGTCTCATGTCCTGACAATTCCCTTCTTTTCAGACCTTCACCAAGAGGGGCAATTACAGCCAGTTGGAGATGTGACTTTTGCATAGCTGAGTGGGACAGGAAAAAAGATATTTTACCAAATGTGGCGTTTTCATACCTTTGTTGCGCATCTCTCTCTGCATGTACGAAAGAAGGCTCTTTTAAAATGCACTCTTCCTTTATCTCTCAGAAACCAAGACAGATAATGTCTTTTACAAGTGTCTTCCAAATCATGCAAAGATCATTTAAGAGTTTTTTAATGAGGTCCTATCAAAACACCACCTTTCCTGCTCTCTGTTCAGTAGTAGACAGATCTTGGGATTTCCAAATGCCTTGAGATTATTAATTTGGATAGATAGGAGCACTGTGAAACCTAAGAATTTTTAAAAACTGCTTGTGGTCATCTCTGATTCAAAAATGAATGTCCCATTCAAAGGCCAGACTTCTATAGTCATCAGTAGAAGAGGATCTTTGCTGCCATCTGTTACCTAACCATTTTCGTATCCCCACCATCATCTTACTGGGAAATAAGTTATATGGACCTAAATGTGAAGAAGCATGTTCATACTCAGCAGTCTTCTGTTCTGCCACACAGAATGCTATTCCATACATATTTCATTTCTTTCTCCCTGTCACCATCTTCTTGTCCCGTTCTCACTCTCCCCTCTGCCTGAACATAACTCCAAATACCCTTCCCAAATTGCGTACTGTTCTTTGTCACATCCATTGTTTCAAACTGTTCAGATAATGACTGTGATACCAGCCGTGGAGGACAGTATCACTGTGGATATGTGCAAAGAAGAGGAAGCACAAAGGTTATGTACATCCCCCAAAGTCCCCAGATACAGGAGACCATTAACAGAAGGGCAAAGGCTGGCAGTGTTACAGAAGCCGTGAGGTACAGTGAGCCCTAGCAGGAAACACTTTCAAATGTGCAATTACATTTGCTAAAGCTATAGTTCAGTGAGTACAAGGAGAGTCATAAATATCCACAGCTACAAAAGGCACAGGTGAACTAGAAGAAAATTCATAGAAAATGTGTTTGTGAACACGTTGACTGAATCAGATTCATATTTCAGTCTCTTCAAATTTGTCTCAGTTTGCTTTTTTCTCTTGCAAACATTTGGATCATTGGTTTCTGTTCATGCAGGTGAACTTTTTGTTCCTAGGAGAACACGTAAGTATGTGCAATTGCATTAATTTACATGGGTTTCTCAGTATTCATGCATCTATGTGCATTTGAGCTAAATGTTGGTTCATTCATACATGCACATACACATACATATCTGTTATCTGCATACCTTTCAAGGTGGGGATACAAAACCACACACAGAGTCTTTCTCCTTTTCTACTTAGCTTTTTCTATCCCTCCTCTTAAGAGATTCAAACCTCAAGTGTTTATTTTTCAGATGGGCACTCTGTCTACAAAAGTTGCAATTTCTGATACTTACTGGATGTACAGGCATGGTACAATCTGTGAACATAGTAAATAAGACAGCCCTTTCTGCAAAGAGTTTGTATGTTAAATAAAGTAAATGAGGCCATTTCAATTTACAAAAAAAAGAAAAAGAAAAATATTATCTCACAGTCCCACTCTGTTGTTAAATTTTGATTAATCAAAAAATTGGGTGCCAAAAAACTTCAGGAAAAGGAGAAAGGAGGGAAAAAAGGGGAAGTAAAAGTACAATTATAAGGTGATATGGTTAGTTTAAGTGTGTACATATGGGAGTTGAAAAAAAGAATCAGCCAATTATATGTCACTAGAATATCCAATTATTTATGATAACTCCACATGAATGTATTATATAATATCCTACATTTTAGAGGCATCTAAAGCAGTAGCTATGGAAGAAGAGCAACATTGAAGGGACTGCAAATTGATGCCATCACAAAAGGTTGATGGATTGATTCAATTAATCAGTAAGTCATTTCTAAGAGATCTGCAGGGATTTATTTACCAAACACTTACATTGTTTATTTTGCTCTCTGGAGGGTATGTGTACTGTCATTTTTCTTCATTATTCTTCTTGTTTCATTCATCAATTTCTGACAAATATTTTTATGCCGATATGTGGCATGTTGCGAATGTAAATTTTCCACATTTACTGATTTAAAGCAATACACTCCAAGCTTCCAGTAGCTGAGAACTTTTGTTTATTTCCCTCAGGTCCTGAGAAATTCTAGCCATCTATAATTAATATACAGACATGTTTTCCATTAATCTTTGCTTTCACTGTCTGCTCAACATGACAGGGATGTAAGGTCTTGTCTAGTATAATATGTGGGCACCTCCTTAAATTTTAGAAAGAAACTTACTATGAAAAGCCTTTTGAACACTGTTGACGCTAAATAAAATAACTTTTCCATCTTTGATTTGGCCTTATATTTTGTAGTTCAAATCCAGGAGAACAATGCAAGAATGTTTTAAGAATGCCAGCAGTTTCACCATGTTTTCCATAGCATTAGATATCTTTTCTATTTTAATATTGTCATAGCATATGCTTCAAAGTCAATACATAGGAATGGCAAAATTAGATCAAATTACCAATTACAAAATGGCAGATGCTGGGCACAACAGAGGTCTGTGAAGGAAGAAGACCCGAAACAGAATGGAAACCATGCTTTGACTTGGACAAATATTTTTATTTTAAACTATCAGGAACACTGAATTTCTAAAAAAATTAAAACAAAAACATTTCTCATGTTCATTGCATACACATTTGCAGCAAGGGTGTGATTTTCAGGCGTCATCAGCACTGGCCAAAATCTGACCTCACTATAGGTGGCTAGGAGCATTTGCAAAATGTATGGTATGGTGATATAAAAATTTTATCTATACTCATTTGTGCTGACCTACATAACTTGCTCATTGCCACATTTGTACCAGTAAAATCTTTCTATCATTCCCACTCTTCTGTGTATTTCATTTCATGTGAATGAATATCACTCCAGGGGATTAGCACCCTGGGAGACTTTCTGCAAAACATGAGTCTTAAGGAGGAATCCAAAGACATTTCCATAGTTATGGCCTATGTGATAGTGGGAATCTGCTACATGATATCTTTTTTCCTTTATAAATAAATGTGAAGTATTAGTTGTAACCTACAATTCTCAGTTTAAATATTTCACATCCTTCTAGCTTCCTGCTCAGTTGCACAGAGCTCTTCAGATTTGATAAGCTTTCCATTGAGCAAACTAATTCACATAACAGAAGGATAAAGCACAACCTCAAAAGATGGGCTAATAATATCTAGTGCTTCTAGAAATCCAATACTTTTGCCAAAAGCATCACTCAGCCTGGAGTTCCTCTTGTGTAAAAATCCCTCTCGTTCATTATTTCACAGCCTGAAATGTAGTTCCTGACAAAACTCTGTCCAAGTGAGACCCACACCCTTACAGTCATTGACATGTACAACCTCAAATTCTGCTCCATGCAAGGAAATATATGAGAAACTAGCAGTGCTCCTTCAGGCCTCTTCCCTTGAGCTCGTCTTTCTCACACCTGGATGCTTAAGACTGTTGCCCCAACCAACGGGACCATCCAAGAAGGCACATCCTCCTGACACCAGCAAAAAAAGGAAGTCTAGGTCCGCAAGAATCTCTTCCCAGGTCTCTGTTTTAACTTGGATCATGCCTTTCATGTAGGAGAAGCAGTCAGACTTTTGCCTGGCTCCAGTTTTTATATTTTAGGTGTCATAGCCCTACCTTGCTTCACTCCTCAGAGACTCTGCACTTGCTAAAGAGTTAGTTCAATTAGAGGAGGGAGTTCTGGCGAGCAGGAACAACACTCCAAAACTTTTGCATTGAGAAAGCTATAGCTCAGGTGCACTTCTGAAAAATAAACCTTAGATGAAAAAGCTAAGTCACTATTTGAACTTGAACATATTCAAACCTCTTTTATGGATGTGAAGATATCTTGAGTCACATGCACAATTATTTAGTGTCATTATTTTATTAGTTTATTGATGTACTTATTCGCTTTACTTATTTAATTCTCCGTTTCAGTGGGGAACATTTTGCATTTTAGAAGTACGTTTCACATTTAGAAAAATCAAAGGAAATAGCAGGAAAAATTGACATGAAAGTGTTATACAACACTGGAGGACTGCTGTGTTAACCATCAGGATCAATCTGAAAATCTCATCCCCAAACTCAGAACTACAGACCATTGACACTGAAAAAAACTTCTCAGTCTTGGAAGCCATCAAAATTACGGCTAGAAGCTCTGTTTAAGTCAAGTTGTTAAGTTCTGTTTAAGTGGGTTGAGAAGTCACTCCCCCAGACCATTTCCCAGCCGTATGGCTTTTGCTATATCTTGCTCTCTTAAGAGCTTGTGAGATGGAAGTTCATAATTCAGATTTTGTCCCCGAATTATTCCTTTTCTGTACTTTGTTTCTGTCCCTGGAGAGAGAGACCAGACGGATTCCTAGAAGGATATCTTGGCACATAAAACTACAGGACTTTCCAGGGAAACACAGGTGGGGAAGGGTCCCTCAGACTGAGCCTTCTCAAACATTATGGGGCCGTTTGCAGTTGTAAAGAATTGAACTCAGCAGCCGAAGTTGTTCCTTCAGGCACCTATTTCTCTGGTGTCCTCGAGGAGAGTTAACCCCAAACCAGACCCCCCAGTTTCACTGAAAGTCTTCTTGGGTATTTAGCTTCTTAGGCCTTTTAGAAAGTCCCACTAATGTTTATTTTCATTTTCAAATTCCTCTGAAATGGAACAGAAGGACCTTTAAAAATCAGTGCTTTGTGATTTGACCCTGAGGACAGGTACACTTTTCTTGTCAGGCTAAATAAAGGCAGTAATCTGATTCAGCCCGCGAGTTTCAGGGCTCTATATGTATCAGACTCCGCTAATTTCCCCGAGATTTTTCATGGTTTGTATGGAGAGAGAAATAGAAACTTCATCCACATCTGCGCTGATATTTTTATTTTGCCACTGGTGACTTTTTTTTTGAGCTCACGATACAACAGATGCGTGTCAGTAATAACAAAAATAGCTGATCTGCAACAGCCCACACACTGCCACAGTTTGTACAATACTTTGTTAGCCTCTAACTCCATCACTTCAGAATCCCTTCCTCTCCCATCTGTCCTAAACAAGTGGGAGAGGCTTTTTGCCAGAAAATGCGGGTTTTTTTTAAAGCACCCCTCTGGAGGATAACATAACAACTCTGCCTAAAGAAAAATGTTGTTAGCCCTTCCCATGTGTCAGAAGGGAAGCTGCTACTAATTATGACCAAGATCCTGTCACTTACCCGAATTCACTGGTAATTCTCATAAGATCCTGAAGAAAGTGAGCAAACACAGGAATGTGCCAGCAGCGAGTCACTATAATTCCCTTCTTTCTTAAACCCACGGAGGGCTTGCAGCAGCCACGGATTTGTGCCGCAGGCCCCGAAAAACACCTGGGCCTGGCGCAGGCCGCCGCATCCAGGCTAGCAGCTGTCTTGGAACAGGCACATCCATAGCAGCCCAGCAGTGCGATAGATGACGGTTTTTTGACGTATCTGGAGCATACTGGAGATCTGCAGCTGTCTCAGAAAAGGCACATCCATAGCAGCCCAGCAGTGTGATAGCTGACGGGTTTTTTTGACGTATCTGGAGCATACTGGAGATTTCGACAACAGAGGGAAAAAAAAAAATCTGTCACTCAGGCTCTTTTACCTGAGAAGCTAAGTGGGAAAAAAAAAAGCCCTTCCTAAGCCCTGCTCTCTTAAGTAAAACAGGATGTGCATTAAAGCGTCTCTCCGGCCTCCCTTGGGGGTTTCGGTATAGCTGGTTATATCGTGCTCTTTGTAGGATCCAAAAGGACAGAAATCTGTCTGCTGAGACGCCGAGGTACAGTTGATGTTTCTGCAGAGCCACGTCTTCCCCAGGGGACCGTGCCTGTAAGCCTGGACACACAGGACACACCTGTTAACCAGAAAGGACTGCTTCACATGAAATCTTTATTACTGGGACCCTCTTGTGCCTCTCTGAAAGTGCAAAGGGGCATTCCGGGCAGTGAGAGTGCAAAACACACCCATCTGAAAGCTCCTGCACTTGCTAACAGAGCAGTAAGGGAGCCTCCTTCATGAGAACGAGAACCCAGTCCGACGCTCAGCAGGAGGGCAGATTAAGTACCCTCCTTCTTCAAAGCCTTTTATTGTTATCCATAAATAACAACAGGTGCAGCAGCTGATTATTATTTTTTTTCCCAAATGCACAGCGATGCTTATTTGGTGAGAGTTTGAAAGATTTCTCAAGCTGAATGTGATGGTGGAACCCCACCGCCGGGTGCTGGGGCACAGCAGCTCTCCTACCCTGGCCGGGGTTTGGTACAACTCACATTCCTGCACAGAGGGCAAGAGAATTAGAGGAGAGCAGGGGGAGGGAAGAGCAGCAGAGATTAACAGACAGTGAAGAACGCAGTATATTCAGTAAAAGCTTAATGAGAGAATCCCATGGTAACCGTCAGGCTTTGGCTTTTGTGTGCAGCTATCTGCAGAAATACCACCGGCACGTGTCTGGTTTGCTGCTGACACTTTCTGTTAAAGAGAGAAAAAAAAATGTGAGAAGGCATAGATTACTCACAGGCGTGGCAACGGGACATAAAGCTATGGGCATGGCACATGTACTTGAGCATGGTGTCCTGGAGAAGATGATTTCAAGGTATCAGCTAGTATTTACAGGAGCCATAGTATGGTGTAGGTAGCTAAAACAGAAGATTGTGAGCTTAAACTGCTTTTAAAAAAAATGTTTTTTTTTTCTTTCTTAAAGAAGACTTGCCAGCCTTTGTATAATCAGCATTTCAATAACTTCAGAAGCCTCCAACTGCATATATAATGTTTTCTTTCTCCAAGTAGCAGGTACCATTTAATATCAGGTACCAGGTCATTTAATAACTGTCTCTACTAAAAGTTCAGAGTCTCTTCTCTTATTTTCTCATCTTGAACAGCATAACTTTACCCTGACTTCCATCCAGGCTTTGGTCTTAACTGCACTGAAAAGAATGGAAATCAATGGCATTACATAGCAACAAATTATTAATCCATTCAATGACAGGTTCAGAAAAAAGGTCTTCTTCCCAATCCTGTTGGCTGTGACAGCTGCTAGTCTCACTGCCCTTCCTACTGCACTGACTTCTGATCTAGGATCAGACTAGCCTGAAATAAATGTAACAGGCTTTCGAATTAATAATGATGTAAAAAACATTCTGTTATCAGCACCTCAGGCTTGGCACATCCCGATAGCAACCAAGAAACACTATTTAGGGGTCATTTACTATGCCTCTCTTGAAAAAGTGGTGTTATAGAAACATCCTGAAACACTGCACTCCAGCCGCGTTCTGTCACACTCTGCTGTAAACAAGAAATCTGCAGATGCCAGCCCTCGGCGTAGCTGTGGATGAACTGTGGTGGCACATCTTCCATGGGGATTTAGAGAGTCTCAGTGCAGAACCTGGGAGCTTGGGGCATTTGGGAAACTGTCGCTGAGGAATTTGCTCTCTGGCAAAATGTTCCTTTACACGTCCATGGTGGGTTTGCAGGTCTGAGTCACACCAGAGAGTCGTGCTGTCAGCGAGGAGTGAGGTTAGGTGTCAAAGTCAGTACGACACTCAGGTCTCAGGGCTCCTCTGCATCTCTCTGCCACTTGCTCCCTGCCTTTGGCTGATAGCAAGGGATCAACCAGTTCTTGTTAGTTAGTAGAGAAGTGCCTTGGATACATGCGACAACTTCCAGGCACTTTTCCCAACCTGAAGAGTAAAATTATTAATATTTATCACAGCAGCCTGAAATAGCTCCTGAAATGGAAGAAAACATAACTTTAAAGAAGAGATATTTACTGTAGAAGAGATGGAGAAAAGTCAGGGAACTGTTTATTGGCTTTGGAAGTGAGTACGAAGAAATGAAATGAC